GGAGCGCATGGGCCCTATAGAGAAAAAACCTCCAAAAAAAAAAAAAAAAAAAAGGAAAGGAAATCCTGCCGCACACTACACTACAACATAAATGCACTTTAAGGACATCATGCTAAATGAAATAAGCCAGTCACAGAGAGACAAATATTGTTTCATTTCACTTATCGGAGGTATCTAAAGTAGTTAAATTTGTAGGAACAGAAAGTACAATGCTGATTACCAGGAGCTAGAGGATGGGAAAAATGGGAAGTTATTTAATGGGTATACACTTTCACTTCTGCAACATGGAAAAGTTATGAAGCTCTATTGTACAATAATGTGACATGTTTTTTCTATGGAAAACTGCATGTATATATATATATGTGTGTGTATATATATATATAGATAGAGAGAGAGAGAGAGATCCATACAGTGGAAAGTTATTTAACAATAAAAATGAATGAAATACAGATCTATAAGCCTGGAAAACATTGTTCTAAGTAAAAGAATCCAGAGAGAAAAGATCACATGTTACACAACTTCTAATTATATGAACTGTCCAGAATGAGAAAGTCCATCAAGATAGAAGTAGATTAGTGTGCCAGGGCTGGATGTAATAGAGAATGACTGCTAATGGCATGAGTTTTCTTCAAGGGTGAGAAAAATATTATGGAATTAGGTCATGGGAATGATTCCATAGTTTAAAATATTCCAAAAACCACTTGTAATTCAGATGTGTTCTCCAAAGTTCATGTGTTAGAGAATCCTCAATGCAACCGTATTGACAGGTGGGACCTGTAAGAGGTGATGTCTACACTCTACGGCAGAAACTGGAAGGCTGGTAGGTGTAACGGCAGGAAGGGCAACTAAAACTATAGAGATAGTATGGGGGGTTGGCAGGGAGAGAGGGGGTGGGGAAAAACATTTAACAGAAGCAAAAATGAAAAGTTATCTGTTGATGATAATGTACATGGTAATATCTGTGACTTGACTAATATGCACTATATTCACCCTGGGAAAAGCCATTTTGTATGTTGTCAAAATGTACAGTGATTGGGACCAGCAGTTAGCGTAATGGCTTTGTCGCTGGACTCCCACATAGTCGACCGCAGTTCGAGTCCCGGACCCGGTGGCTTAAACTCACGCCGGGCACATGTGCGTGCGTGCCCAAGATCCTGAGAGGAGAATGAAGGAGAAGGGATTGCGGCGTGGCCATCCCCCCTGGGCGGTGATTTCCTGCTTTCTGTCTCTCTGTCTCTCTCTGTCTGTCTGGCGAGCGCACACACCCTATAGCAAAAACATCTCAAAACAAACAAACAAACAAACAAACAAAATGTGCAGTGATTAAATATATAAAAAGGAATAAAAGAAAAGGGCATTGAGGGACCAGCAGTTAGCGTAATGGCTATGTCGCTGGACACACATGCAGTTGACCACAGTTTGTGTCCCAGATCCGGTGGCTTAAAACTCACGCCGGGCGCGTGTGTGTGCGTGCCCAAGATCCCGAGAGGAGAATGGAGGAGAAGGGATTGCGGCATGGCCATCCCCCCTGGGGGGTGATTTCTCACTTTCTGTCTCTCTGTCTGTCTCTGTCTGTCTGATGAGCGCATGCGCCCTATGGCAAAAAACTCTCGAAAAAAAGAAAAAAGGGCATTGCCAACCCAATATATACCTTCAAAAAGAAATAAATTATTAAAACTAGTAAAATGATTATCAAAGTTCCACAAAATAATGTAATATTCTTTGTTAATGAATACGTTTATATCCTTGCTTTATCACGCATTGTATGAATGCTTTGTAAAACTATGCTGTACCCCACAAACACATACAATGATTAAATGTAGATCAGAAATTATGAT